TACTTCCTCGTCGTCCTCTGATTCGGCTTCCAGGGCGGCGACACGTGCGGCAGCCAATTCCACCTCCTTTCGAAGTAGCTCCTCCCGTGCCTTGGCCAGAGCCTTCTTCTTCTGCGAGGCCGTGGTGCGAACCGTGCGTGCCGTGCCGTGCTTCGGTTCCTTCTTCCTTGCTGTCTCCTCTGTCGTTCCTGTGGCTTCGGTAGTCTCCGTGGCTCCTGTGGTCGTCGTATCGCCGGACGTGTTCGTAGTCGATGTGGTGGCGGCGGTAGACGACGTGGCAGCGACAGATGACGTTCTGACAGCCGCAGACGACGTGGTGGCAGCAACGGACGGCGTGGCAGCGACGGACAGCGTTCCGGCGGCCGTAGTCGACGTGGTGGCGGCGGACGTTGTGGCTTCGGTGACGGCGATTTTTGTTGCGACGACTTCATGTTTCTCGTAGTCGGCATTTCAGCGATCCGGCTTCAGAATGGTCTTCCTCCAGCGATCCGGCTTCTCGATGTACCAACGGTGTTCCTCCAGCAATCCGGCTTCTCGAAGGACCACGATGAACGGTGTGGACTGCCGTTCGGTGAGCGTGGACTGTAGGGGCGTTGGTTCAGGCTGGAGTGAAACACAGGGATTACTATTCTGAAGCCTCCGGTACCGTCTGAAGAGAGTATTTTTTCTTCTTGTCCTATTTCTTCTCGAGTGTAGTGCGTCGCTGCCCGGAAGCGAATGCCGCTCGACGGGAGGCGGCCTATCTTTATACCCGCCCGCTCGCACGATAACGTTTCCAACTCGCGATAGCGATCTGTGCGAGCGGGACGGGGCGAAAATGAACGAGACGCGTGTCTCTTCAGATCGGTACTCTATAGCGTCTATTTATTTATTTATTTTATTTCAATTTACAATTTCTTAATTCTATTTATTGTTACAATTTCTATTCGTAGGTAATAACGACAACACGCAAAGGAATACTTTATTTAACTTACACTATCTTAAATCTATGTAAATCTATATAAAATAACAGAATACAGAAACGATTAACTAGGGACTTAACAACTATAAATTACGATATATACAAATAATGTCGCGAACAATTTTTGTATTATATTAAGAAAATAATTATCATTTTATATTCCTTGTGTTATATTATATAGTAATATATAATATAATTAACTGTAAAAAAGTTTGTACAAAAGTCGATTGTTTGGGTACCTCTGTCCCATTCGTGTTACAACCGTGAAGCAGTTGTGTTTGCATGGCTGTGTTTCGGTTTAGCGCAGCTCTTAAATGGGATAGATAGATAGATGGTTTATTCACATAAGATGATGGTATATATTAGCACAATACTAGTGTGGGATAAAACTACGAGAACGTATTCATATTAATTGGAACAATGCGAATTTAAATGTTCATGATGGTATCCGGTTGAACCACCTAGAGGTCAACTTGATAGGGTCATGACAATCAATCTTTTCTCTGTTTATGAATACTATATGAATCCGTGTAATCAATACTTGTTGCTCGATAATTTAATTTTTTGATGATTTGTAGTCAACAAAAAAGCCTTCGACTGTGGCAAAATCAGTTATTTCGATTTGTAAACTAAACTACTGAAGCGATTTTAATAAAAAAATCTACGTGACTAATCTGTAACTATACCCTTTCAGATAAAAAAAAAAACATATTGCAAATCGGTTTATAACTGATGGAGTTAAAAAAATACAAACGAATTAAGAACCCACTTCTTTTTGAAGTCGGTTTAAAATCTGAAAACAACATGGCAATGTAATTTTAAGTACGGAACATTGTTGTGTCCTTCTTTTCTAATCTTAGTCTTTAGTTAGAAATGTATAGATAGTAAACAAAAAAAAAAATATGCAACCAGTATCTATCAAAATATATTTCTTTTGTGTATTTTTAATTTTAAATTAAAAAACAAAAAAGAAACAAAAAAAAAAATTAAAACAGAAGGGAAAAAATGTTAGAAGACTCGATACGATACGACGAAATTAGGAATAATATAATAGAAGGTAAGGTAGAAGAAAGAAGGGGAAGAGGGAGACCAAGGCATAGTTACATCAGACAGATCAAGGAAGGAGTTGGTGCCGTGTCGTATCAAGATGTGAAGAGACTCGCTAAAAATCGTAGTGAGCGGTAAGAGCTCTTACGGACAAGAGCGCAGCTCTTAAATGGATAGATAATCCTATGTAATATAATAATAATTTACCTTAATCAATATGAAAACTGCACTTTTTCGAATATCAGAAATAAAGAAATTAATGAAATGACCAAAGAAACAACTTATACAAATTAAATTAATTTTCACTGCTACATAAAATAAGTCGCGGATACTGCTAGTTGATTATAGCAATTTAAAGGAATCATACTCGTAATGAAGAAGTTAGAGAGAGTTTGCTAACTCTCAAAGAGTCGTTATAAACTAATGACGGAGGTACAAACTTCGCCTCAAAATCATGTTCCAGCTGTTAATAATAATTTAGTCCCTAGAGTTATTTTCGACCGACTCAAAATATTATGAATTATATACTATGTTAATATAGTTTGTGTATAATTATATAGATAGAACATCGAGTCTCAAAAACGGGTCAACCTTTTGTTTTTTAACAATTTGACAATTAGCTGACTCGTTTTATTAACGGTGTTCTATAAACCAATACATAAAATGTATCTCGGCATATTATTCAATAACTAAAATGAGTATTTACGTAATAAAAAGAAGCAGAATTTACAAGAAAATAAATATAGAAGTAATAAAGGAATTACTTATAACTATTTGTCACGCAAAAATGTATGAAAAAGATGAACCTTTTTTTCGAAGCATTTGTATGGCGATACTCTATATAATCTAATATGTATACAGACAATCAGGGTTGCTACAAGTTATTTTTGATTGATACCCAAATGTCATATATTTCATACATTTTTATTTAAATCTATTACTCACTCATTAACTTGAACCTTCATCTACAATCCGGCATAGAATGTGTCACCCCTTCCTTTTCAGTAGGTGTCCTAAGAGGCAACTAAGGGAACTTAATAGTCGAGGAATGGGTATTTTATTTTCGAAAGCAATAGAGATCTTCCACCTGTTGCTAGCATCTTGTGATTAAAACTGTTATACTCGTATCATACATCAGTTTAAAATTTTGATATTTCCTTATATTTAAGCTTCTAAGTTTCACATAAAAAATGCCCAGCTAAATAGAATGACAAATTATAATATGAAACTAAGTAAAAAACATTTTAAATACAAACGTAATTTATATCCATAATTTTTTAGTAATATTTTTTTGTAGTATTATTATTTTTTTTTTGTATTATTATTTATATCTATTAATATTAGAAAAAGGAAAGGTTATGATTTTTTGTATGTTTATCTGTTTGTTTATTGGCTAAATTAAAAAACTACTCAACTGATTTTAAAAGTTCTTTCACCTGTATAAAGTTACATTTACAACGAATATGCTAGGATATATATCTTATTATAATGTAATAACTATCTTATAACTAATATAATTAATTTAAGTGTATTCTAGTTTCGAGACTAAGGGTCCCGGATGATTCTGAAACTAGTCGAGTTATCTCGACTAAAATGTATCTAAATTAAAAAAAAAATTAGAGATCCTTACGATAGTTACAATAATGTAATCCAAGGTATCATAATTTTCTTATTTAAGCTAATATAAATTATTAATACAATATAAGCGCGGCGGGTACTAGTACCCGTTTTGTGGACTGCCATCTATCAGCGGGGCGGGTATTTGTACCCATTTGGAAAGTACTTACGTTAAAGTGGGGTACAGTACTACTCGTTGGTTGACTTATGAAATATAAGTAGATGTTTGTTTTAAAATTCTCATAGTTCGAGGCGCTATAAATTTTCAACGCGAAGTTACGAGCTTCCCTCGCTAATTTCGCCCGCTACGCAATATCGTCAGGGCTATTAGACAGCCCGCTTAAAATGTGTTAATTTCACTATCTATCTACCCGTGCGAAGCCGGGTCGGATCGTTAGTTTTATTACAATATCACTGAGTATCACATGCATTATTCGTATTGGCAAATTATTTGATTTATCTCTATTATTTCCTTATCATTAAAGCGAACTCTGTGAAGGATTATCGGTAAAAGCTAAGCACTCGAGTTCTCAATATATTTGAATTTATATCAATTGTTTTGCTACCGTGACGTGTGCAGTGGTTTTGTTTTTATTCTGATTATATACAGAGGTTTGTTTGACTGCGTTTCAAGTTTCACTGCAGTGTAAGCAATAATGAGCTGATCTAACGTCTTTGGTATGCCTCGAATTTAGATTAGAGTTTCGAATAATTACGTTACTATTCGGGATACAAATCTCTATCCAGATGTGTTCATTTTAGAACTGGCAAGAAAAAAAAATATTTTAGCTTATTTTTGTCAGTAGAAAAATAGAGGCGTACAAACGTAACTAAATTAATATGATTAATCTTATTATTGTACTACATTTTAATTTAATAACTCTGAATCAATGTGCATTTTAGTCGACAAAGCTCGATTAGTTTCGGAACCACTCGGGATTCATAACCATAAGCGCCTATAACGTGAGTGCGAATCTCATTTAAAAATGAATTGAACACTCCAATAGTATACAAGATACTTTATAATTTGAATTAAGAACTAAGAATTAGTTATTTAAAAATAGCATTTACTCTGCTACAGCCAGTATTTTTTAAGGAACTTAAAAATAGCGGCTTCAGTTATCGCAATATTAATATGGAAACAGTAGTAGTTAGAGAGATTAAACTGTGTCGATAGAATTAAATAATTAATAAAATTTTAATCGTATATAATAGTTAAACAATAAATACAGATGAATAAATAGTCTCCTCTTTTGGAAGATATTTAAATATATTGCCTCTGTCATTGTTTTAGAACGTAACGCCCAATTTCCTCTCGCCTACAACTACCACTTGTTTTATGGTTATTGCATTCCGACTGAGCATTAGATTTTATTCTACCCGTATACCTTATCTATAGCATTATGCGACGAAATAATTCCCTATTGCTATTACTCTGTGAGTATTTTTATTTTATTATTATACTGTAGGAGAATTTCTACGTCGTCTAATTTTTAAGCGGTTTACAAAAGAAAGCGATTTTAAATTTTTTGTAGCTAAGTTGAACTACTTTTACTACACGTAAAGTATTTTTTGTATATTACTCTATCAATTCTAAATCGATTTTAGTATTTTATTTTAAAATTTTAGTGTCATATTAATTTATTACGATTGAAATCGCCGTTTTTTTCGTAAAGCAGAAAATTGCCTGAAATTGCAAAACACAATTATAAAAATGTTACTCCTCGTTCTAAATTCAAATATTTTATTTCTTCGAACTATTTAACTACACAATTTGTCCTTTCTCAGTGTGTTTTTCTACGATTTGAACAACTTTTTTGCTCAGAAAAATTTATTTACTGCGTACGTATGTATTTCTCATGCACCGCTGCGTTATCTTTATGCCGTTTCCATACTTTAGTTAAAAGTGGTTCGAGTTGTCTCGTTTGATATTTATCAAATTCTATACTAATCTTGTATGACTTCTGTACAACAGTGTTTGATTATTATATCAGTGCCTTAGATTATACAGATAGAGTGTCTCCATACAAATGCTTCAAGAAAAACGGATCAACTTTTTCATAAAATTTTGCGTGATAAATAGTTACGAGTGATTCTTTTATAACTTCTATATTTATTTCGTCTTATAAATTCTGCACTTTTTAATGCGTAAACACTCATTATATTTATTAAATAATACATCAAGATACTTTTTTTGTGTAAGTATATAAAACACTGACAAAAAAACGAGTCAGCTAATTTGACAATTAGCTGATAAAAAGTTGCCCCTTTTTGGATAATAATATAATTTATTTGCTGAAAAACACGGTATACAGATGGTAATATGTTAGGAACAGGCGTGTTTTGCCAAAACAATGGCATGCAAAATTTTAATATTTATTGTTAACTTCTTTTCAAATACTATTAACAAAATATTATTTATGTGCTTATAAAGTGGAATTACTGGGGGAAAAGGATTGTTAGCAGTGGAGTTTGATATTGCCAGCAATATGCCCTATCAGGTCGACCTCCACGTGGTTCCCCCTGGAAACCACCGTGAACAATTCTTGTTGAATTCGTCACGATGGGCTAACTGGCCTGCTTCATCCTCATCTAACATCACTCACTGGTGCCCCGCCGGTATATACCGATAGCACGGGTGGGGTTACCATTCCATTATCATCCATTAAAAAAAAGTGGATTTATTTTCTAGTCCAACAAGTCCTTAAATTGAGTAATAACATATGTCCAAAAGACATTTGTGCATTACAATTGCCATTTGGAGACTCGGTGCTCTATCTTTATAATCTAAGATAGAGACATCGTTATCATATCGGCCGGTAACTCTCTGCTGTTGAACATAAACCTCCTTCTTGGAGGGGTTTACCAGTACTTACTAACTACACTTGGCAGACGGGTTGGCTGGGCTTTATATATGTTTTAAGAGGGACGCTGCTGCCCCTTCCTCGACCATTAAGTTTTAGTCGCTTCTTAAGACATTCACTGGAAAAGAAGGGTTTTTATTGATGGGTGAAAATGGTATGGTAACCCCGCTTGCACTAACGGGATGCGCTGGCGGAGCACCGGTGAAGGGTGATAGATGAGAATGAAAACAGGCCAGTTAGCCCATCATGATGAATTCATCAGGAATTAACCATGATAGTTTCTAAGGGGAACCGCGAGGAGGTCGACCTGGTTGGGTATATTGCTAGCAATGGGATTCTCAGTCTCCATCACTAACAATCCTTTTCCCTCCGGAAAGGAAGGGTTGGCCCATTCTATGCTAGAGCTACATGGCAATTGTTGGTACAGCACTCGTGCTCTGTAGCTGTCTGCTAACGACATTCTTTTCTACTGTATTGAGTTGGCTGGAAGAGATCTCTTATTCCAAAAAGTTTAAAAATTTACAAGTGCAATAAAGGCTATAGATATAGGTATAGATAGAGTGTCTCTATACAAATGTTTCGCCAATACATTTGTACGGGGATATCTTATTATCCTTGTGTGCGTGAATAGAGTTATTATTATTATTGAGAAATGGGCTATGTTTGGGCATGGTGATTAGAGCAGTGGTTAACAACCAGTGGTCCGCAGAAGCTAAAATATGGTCCGTGAATGATTTTAAATTTAACGGGCGGTTAGCCGTTGGTTGCGGTTCAATGAGTTATTTCTTCTAATGTAATTTTCTATTGAGTTTTTAATCACAGTTTCAATTTGATTACTACAGTGTATTTTTATTATATCTACATATTGGTCCCTGCTAACGAGAATAATATAAAAATGGTTCCTAACCAAGAAAAGGGTGGGAACCCCTGCTTTAGAGACTACAATATGGGGTTTTTCAAAAAGAATATATTAAGTTTTTTTTTCAGGTTCGGTGGCGAACATGTGACACGTGACTGTGTACTATCATCAGTCGGGCTGTATGCTTATTTGCCACCTTTGTGGTATAAAAAAAATAAAGGTGCTGTTTATTTCTATAGCCGACAGCTACTTACCAATTTATATTATGTGGGCTGTTAAAATAAATTAGTAATCGAGATGTATTGATCAGCTATTGGCATAGAGTGGAAAAGAAAAACAGGGAAAATAAACAAAATAATTATTACAGTGTTTATAACGATAACAATGGGTTCCGACTACGTAAACAAATCGCACACGAAGCCATGGAAAGTAAGATTCTACCCTAAAAAGTCAGTGTTCAGGAAAGCTGACCACATCGACAAAGGGTGTACTGTGTTTATCAAGGATTGCCCCCAGTCGTACAAGTAAGATCTATTTTGTTATTTGACTTTGTATGCATATTTTTATTTTGTTGTATTAATCTTTTATTAGCTTTCAACTACGACTTTATCCCCGTGAAAACGCTTTGGCAAAAATATGTTTACTGACCGAGTTTTATATTTAATAAAATGTAAATTTATATAAACTCATTTGTTGATTTACGTATGAATGAAAAGCATCTATTTATCTTTTATTATATCTTCCTCCATCCGAGTAAATTTATTCTATAGTACCTCAATACCAAATTTCATAGTGACTCTCAAGTCGTTAAGAGGTAACAAAGAAATAAACAAACGAACTCTCTTTCATTTTTTTTTATTAGTAGTAATCGACTGTCCGGCTATCAGTGGAGTGGGAAGGTCGAATTTTTCTAACGTTATTGGAAATACAATTCTTTGGGGAAAATGTACAATTACACTAATAATGAAGTTAATAATTTCTATTTCATAAAAATTATAACAAAAAACGAAGTTTGCCATTTTTTATACATACAAAAGAACAAATTGGCTGGTGATTAATACATAGATGATATTTTGAACAATGGGAAATTACAAAATGTAATTTCCTGTCGTTGGAAATGTTAATTCATATATATTAAATACTTAAGTCGCCATAAAAACTTTAATCACCATATTGGTCCCGGTATAGAATAGCCCACTCCTTATCCCGTGGGCGTCGTAAGAGGCGACTAAGGAAGGGCGAGGGATGGACAGCAGCGATCCTCTTAAAATATCTCCAAAATCTAACTGCGGTTGCCAATCCGCCTGCCAAGCGTGACAACTATAAGCAAAACCCTCCAAGGGAGACGCTTATGTTCAGCAGTGGACAGTTAAAGGTTGAAATGATTGAAGATGAAATATAAATCGCGAAAATTATAAAAAAAAAAATGATAAATTAAATCTATTTTTGAATAGTGCATTTAAATAAATACACATAAAGTTAACAGAGATTTAAAAGGGTAACTGTTGAGTTTTTTACGAACTTTTCATAATAAATAATAACTTTCCGAACCCTGCATTCATAAAAAAATTACAATTTTAAAGTGTTTGTAAACAATTCTATTTAAATAAAGATGATTTGAATTTGAATCTGAACTACGTTTTTGTATAATAAAAATTTATTTAAATCACGATCGGTTATGTAGTCGTAGATTACTCCATCACAAAAACATATTGATTATATCGTCATAGTCGTAGAATACTGACGGATCTGACAAATATTATATATATATATAAATATTATATATTATATATCCGTCAGTATTCTACGACTATGACGATATCTACTCTCCTATATCACGGAAAAGGAAAATTTTAATAGTAAAGTTTTTCACCAGAACCCAACAGATTATAGCTATTGTTTTATATATTACTAGTTATATCTCATGACTCCGCCTGCGTGTATCAGTGCATAAAGCATCCTATGTTCTAAGTTAGGATATAATCTACTCGTGTACCAAATTTCGTTCAAATCCGTTTAGTAGTTTTTGCGTAAAGGAATAACAAATATCCATCCATTCATCCAGCATTACAAATTTTCGCTTTAATATTCATTTGAAATTTAATAATAGAGTTTTTCATTATTTTGGCATTATTACAAAGTACTAAATCAAACTATATCACTATTCATGGAATGTAGAATATATTTATATTCCTTCGGTAATGCAAAAGTTAGTAAGAACATACATCCTATTTTATAGACAGAATTTGGTCTGCGCAAGACATTACGACGGACAATTTAAAACTTTCAACAATTACTGTGAAATGGAGTTCGAGAATTGCAATAGTTGGAGACGTGAGTACACAACTTTATATCATTCAAAAACAATAAACCATACATTATACAATTTTGTTCGAAACATGAATTTTATATTCGAAAATTTAAAAATAACTGGCGACGTCCGTAACTGTTAAAAAAAAATAAGACATCAGAATTATAATTTGAAAATGGAACGTATTTTCGTTAGATTTTTTTGTCTTTATTTATACCACGACCTGTCTCCTTGCTGGGACAATAAATAGTATGTTAGACGTTTACTTTAATAGCGTGCTCAGTATGCGACCTATGTCGCATCCGAATTTATTTAATCGTTTCTTGGGGCATTTTGCGTTTCAGTCTGCGAGTTGTGTATTACATGTTGTTCATAAGGTCTCTTGCTAATTTGTTAGTGTGTTTTGTTATCCTCTTCTTGTAAGATTGTGTGTTGTAGTATTTGCTATCTAATAATTCTATTTTTTAGATCATGATCTAGTTGCTTGTTTGTGACAAACCAAGGAGCATTGGTCATTATTATTAGCATTTTATTGTGGAACCTTTGTAAAATCTCGACATTGAAGTAAGACGCTGTTCTTCAGAGTTCGATTCTATAGGTCCAGATAGGTTTTAGTATAGTCTTGTACAAAAGGAGTTTATTACTCATTGTTGTGATTGGATGCCTAATAACCAGTAAAGCTTAAGTATTTGTAAACACAATTGTATGCGTTTGGTTATTATATGTTTTTGCCAGATAAGTCGTCTATCCAGGCACAGATATTACATAGTTGGATTGAGGGATTTCTAAGTTGTTAAGCTTCACTGGGGGGCAAACACCTTTTTTTAGTGTGAACATGACATTGACTGATTTAGATTCATTAGCTCTTATTCTCTACTTTTTTAGCCAGGATGAAATATTATCTAAATCGGTGTGCAGGATCTGCGTCGCATTTGTTGGATCTTCGTGGGATACTTATATAGCTGTATCATTTGTAAATGTTCCAGTGGTGATATTTTTTGAAGTATGTAGGTCAGACGTGTAGATTAGATAAAGTATTGGCCCTAGTACGCTACCTTGTGGGACACCTGCATTAAAATTTATTAAATATTGTAGTTTATAAATTTTGTAACATATATGATTTTCTTATGAAAATAGTAGTTTTCTTTATTCAGATCCATTATGATGTACAATTTTTTTTATACCACTGCAGTGGCAAACAAGCATACGGCCCATCTGATGGTAAGTGGTTACCGTTGCCATTTTGAACATCGATTTAACAATGCATTAATATCAAACATCATAAATTAATATTAAATGGACGTCCATATAGTATTAATTTTGTTAGATCATTCTCTAGCTTTATACATTTTCCTGTAAACATTAAAATATTAATTTATTATTTAAATTTCTTGCAAGTTCAACACCTCTCCACAAGATGGCGTTAAATGTATTTTTACACATATGACGAACCGTTACAAGATGTACTATAAGCTTGTTTGCTACATTCGTGGTATAAAAAAGAGATACTAGATGTTTCTTTATTTTGTAAATAATTTTAATTACCTAATCAACGTTTTTTTTTAGAATGGAGTATGATCAGGCGAGATCGATGCTGAAGTTTGGTATCACTATCTTATTTCTTACAATTTTAGTTATTATGACAAATATATGGTTATATTTTTATTAATACATTTTACTATTATTTACTAAAGTTAAGAAATGTAATGTGAGTATCATTTGCATTCTAAAAGGATTCTGTACCTTCGCATACAATAAAAAAAATTGCTTTATATTAAAGTAAAATTATTTTCGACTCATTGTAACAGATATTTCAGAACCACGATAATTCACGAGGTCTATCTGATAAGATACACAGTTACAAATGGGGCCGCTAATCCTCGTTACAATCCCGTTCCCCAGTTCTGAACGTTTACTTGTCCGTACTGCAATATTAATCAAGTATTTCGTCTATAAATCAGGTAACATCGGGCTGTTAATTGCTTTGGAGGCGTGTCTGTAACGTTGTTTATTTTCATACATACATAGATATAATAAAACAGGAACAACAATGTTATCTTAGATTATATAGATAGAGTGTCTGCATACAAATGCTTCGAGAAAAGCCGGTCAAGTTTTCCATACAATTTGCGTGATTAACAGTTATAGGTGATTCCTTTATAACTTCTATATTTATTTTGTCTTATAATTTTTGCATATTTATAATCCGTAAAAACTTATTTTATTTATTCAATAATTAAATATAGATACGTCAAGATAAATTGTGTGCGTAAGTAAATAGAACACCGATAAAAAACAAGCCGGCTAATTTGAAAATTAGCTGACAAAAAGTTGACCCGGCTCAATGCTGTATCTATATAATCTAAGATACATAATTATACTAATATATATATATATATATATATATATATATATATATATATATATATATATATATATATATATATATATATATTATATCTGGCCTTCATACGCTTTCTGTTTTTACCTAATGGTTAGCTGGTAGAGAATGCCATTATGCTCGCCATTTGTACAAAATTTTATTGTGCAATAAAGAATAAATAAATAAATAAAATAAAATAAATATAATGTTATTACTATACTATATAAATTTTGTACATCATATTATAATATGAAATATTTATGAAGATACTTGAGTGTCTGTTACTGAATCCTAGTTCATTATTATCATCATATCAACGGTTAACTGCCCACTGCTGGACATAGGCCTCCATCATAACGGGAGTTTTGTCATTAGTTGCCACGCTTGGCAGCAGAGTTGACAATCGCAGTTAGCCTTTGGTGATGTTTTAAGAAGTTCTTGACCATTAAGTTCCCCTAGTCACCTCTTACGACATTTACGCGAAAGAAGTGGGTGGCACCAGATGGCAATCCAGGGCCTGTAGACAAGTGGCAAACGAATTCGTCGATGGAAACGACATCGCTAGCGAGTCCGTGAGTTGGAGTGAGTCAACGGCGTTGCTATCTTATTCGTTCTCACGGACTTGCTAGCGATGTCAATTCCGTCGACGAATTCGCTTGCCGTTTATCAAGAAGGCCCTGGTTTACTTTACATTAATTTTATTTTAGTAATTATTATTCTAGGGGGAATGATAGCCCCGCCGGCGCTATCGGTAGACACTGGCGGGGCACCAGTGAGGGATGATTGGTGAGGATGGACAACCCCTTAACTTCAGGAACGACGAACAATCCAATTCCTTTTCATTACTAACAATCCTTTTCCTCCAGATTATCCTAGTTGAGTACATGCTAAACACGAGAGATGATGGGGGGAAAGGGATTGTTAGTGATGGAGACTGACAATCCCATTGCTAGCAATATACCCAACCAGGTCGACCACCTCGCGGTTCCCCCTGGAAACTATCATGGTTGATTCCTGATGAATTCATCATGATGGGCTAACTGGCCTGTTTTAATTCTCATCTATCACTCTTCACTAGTGCTTCGCCAGCGTATCTCCTTAGCGCAGGCGGAGTTACCATTACATTTTCACCCATCAAAAAAAAAACACGAGAGATGCTCAATATAATACGCCGATATGGATGTATTGGTCCGCGAGAAGTTTGTTAAATTCGGCAGATTATATTGTCGAACAAACATTGTCATGATTCGTTTAAGGTAGGCTTTTTAAAAGTCCGTTAATTTCAAAGACGAGAAAAAAAAAATTGAATAATACGTACATCTTCTTACAATTTTTTTTTCTTTGAAATAAATGGAACCTTAAATCTAAATTTCTGAATTTACATTATTCGTTTAATGGATTTTATAAAATAAAAATACTTGATAAATAAAAGTTCTTTTTAGTTGTGCTATAATAATAATGAAGCGCGCAAAGCCGCGTGAATAAGTAGTGCTTCATAAAATATCGGCCATAAATATCTATTGCTTTGTTTTTGTTTTGTTTTCACAACAAACTATAAAACTTACAAGTCCGCAATGCTTCAGTTTGAAGTTATGTGAGATCTCAGGGTCTTGAATTTTAGGATTTTATTGAGTATATTTTATCATAACTTTGTAATGACAAAATGTGTGAAGTCAACCTTTGTAATATTACCATATGACTTTATTGTATTATATATACATTTTAGAAATAAATTTTATTCATTCATTTATTCATAAAGAATATGTGATTTTTTGTAGAGAGAACTATTGCTAAGTTTTATTTATATACTAATTAGTTTTATTTATTTCATTATCAGAGGGATGGGCAGCAACATCCTTCTTAAAACATGTCTAAAAGTCTATCTGCGGTTACTTACCCGTCTACCAAGCGTAGCAACTACTGGAAAAATTCCCCTTATAGGGAAGTCTTATGTCCAGCAGTGGATAGTTAATGGCTAAAATAATAACAATAATAGTTTTATTCCGCATCTAAACCCACGTGAATTAGTACATAAAGTATCCTATGTGCTGTGTTAGAATTTTATCTACCTGTATATTAAATATCAGTCATTTCAGATAGTATTTATATGAGTGAAACTGAAGGTAACGTACAATAAATAAATAATTTTATTGCTCAAAGTAGATACACGTATCATATAGATATGTTATTGAGATAAGCCAAGATATACAGCATTTCTTCCTTCTGGTATCTTATTTCTTCTCAATTTATGTATTCCTAGTACATTATAAGTGGCATAATGTATCACTCAGGTAACGCCAATAATCTGTTTAGAGGTAAAGAAGTTTATGTTATTCTTATTATATAAAGCAATATTTGTTGTGTTCAGAAATGCATTTGTCAACCAACAATAATGGCGGCTCGAATTGGTCGCCGCCATTTTTATTCTATAGTACAGTTAGCATCAAAATTCGATAAATACGTACAAATTTCTAAATTCTATTTTCCCAATAAAAAAAATTGTTAACGTCGAAATGTCCGTAATAAAATCAAATATAAAAATATATTTTAAAGTAATACTCCACCACTGAAATTAAATATATGTGTCAAATTAGGAGATTTTCATTCATTCTACTTATTAAGGTGCACGTGACACTCTTCGTGTTGCAGGCATTCCATAGGCTACAATGACAGTTTACGATCAGACTCCGTGGTATAAAAAAAATATTTAAAAATACCTTCCCAATACTATCAACATCATATCAGTCTTTAACTGTCCATTGCTAAACATAAGCCTCTCCTAGGGGCGGGGGGGGGGGGGGGGGGGTTTGCTAGTAGATATTTTAAGATGAACGCTGCTACCCATCCCTCGCCCTCCCTTAGTCACCTCTTACGACATCCACGGGAAAGGCCACCCCTTGGCTTATTCAATGACGGGACCACACTTCTCTCATACAATATTGTCATACATGGGGGGAATAAATTGTTAGTAATCCGGTTTTACCAGCTCCATTACTAGCAATATATCCTATCAGGGCGACCTCCACACGGTTCTACCTGAAAACCATCGTGGTTTATTCTGGAGGAATTTATCACGATGGGCTATTTGACCTGCTTTCATTCTCACCTATTATCCCTCACTGGTGCCATGCCGGTGTATACCGATAGCGTAGGCGGGGTACTATTTCATTATCATCCCACAAAAAAAAATAGTATAATACGTAAATACAATCATACATACAATTACTAATCATACAGGGAAAGGTAAGGGTTTTCTTTATATATTTTTTTTTATATTATTTTAAAAATAAATTTAAATATAGTTGTAATGTTTCTAAAACGCGAAAATATTAGTAGTGAGTACTTACGATCACTTTGTTTACAGTTGTCGTACTCCATCTCGCATAAATTCCGGAACACTTTCTTTTCATTCTTATCGCTGATAGCACAGAGTGGATTTTCGCTTGAAATGTAAATTACTTTATTATTAAGTTTTCTTTCGAATATAAAAGTTGAGTGAATAGAATTTAAACGAGGGAGTTTCGCTTATACTTGAATGGGCCAGATATAGGCAATCTTAAATTAAGATGTTTTGTCCAATTTTGAAAAAAAAACGAAATGAAGTATTTAGACCTATATCGGCTATAACTCTTTATTTATTTTAATAAATAGTAAAAATATCCGTAACTGGCGAGCATGTACGAAAAGATTGATGAATATGGAGGAAGCGAAAGAGGTCTGTTTGAACCGAAATATTTATATTTTAGAAAAGGGATTGTTAGCAATATGCTCTATTAGGTCGACTTCCACGTGGTTCCTCGTGGAAACCATCGTGAACAATTCTTGTTGAATTCGTCACGATGGGCTAACTGATCTGCATCAGCCTCAACTATCATCTTTCACTAGTGTCCCGCCGGTGTATACCATGGTGGGGTTACCATTCCTTTATCACCCGTTAAAAAACAATGAAGAGCTTCAAGCTGAACTATTATATCATTAGTCATGAATATCTATTATGTATTGTTATTTATATATGTATTGTATGTGATTTATGTATGTATAACTTTTGTAAGTATATTATTCTATATGTTTGTTCATTTATCTTAAAATGTATTAAAGGTGTTATCCTCTCTATGTTTAGCGTAACGGTTGACTAACAGAGAATGTCATCAGGCGTTAAGTCTGCTCTGTACACATATTTTAATGTATGCAAAAGTTGTAAATAAATCGATGTATTTGACGTTTCCTTATTTCTGCCTGCCCTAAGAGACAGACGTGACAGATATGTATGTATGTAAACAGTATTCTCAGTGTATTCAGACGATTTGAATTTATTTATTTAAATATACAACACCAGCGGGTCTACCATGAAATGAAATTCCGAAATTTCGGACTCAATTTCATGTTTTTGTTTATACCAAAATCGGACTAATAAATTGAGTTTAATATTACATTCGTCATACATTCTATCATAAAAGTCCAAAGGAACAATATTTTAACATTTTTAATATTTCT